CTCCTATTGGCTGCAGGTGTGTGCATAATTTTGTCTCAGGCTGATGCTGCCTTAGGGCAGAGGGTAAACCACTAGGAGCAGAGCTCCCCTATGGGGCTCCGCTCCACTCATAGAACTGGAGTTACACTCCGGTAACTAATCGTTCTCGCCCCGTCAGCAGAGCTGACGTTCATTCACACGACACAGACAGTGATTCATCTCACGCGTCTGGGGTTCGCTGTGAATTGGAAAAAGAGCACGCCCTGGCCCAGTCATCAGATTGTCTACCTGGGGATACAGCTAGACACTGTAATGATGAGGGCTCTAATCCCCCTTAAGATGTTATTTTGAAGACACTGCTGCTCGCTTTGACCACTGCTAAACGTGTCAGTGATTGTGGGCTCTTTCGACGAGATCCGACTGCTTGGCCATTTATGGCGATTGAGCAGGACGGTGTTAAGTCTTTACCCGGTATTTATACCTGAGGTTATTAAGAGCTTATATAAATTACAGACCGTAGAGCTGTGGGCCTTCTCTCCCTCTCCCCAGGTTGAGAGGAGAGAGGAACGGCTCTATCGCCTGTGCCCAGTGCGCGCCTTGGCCCGCTACGTGGAGCGCAAGGCGATGATTAGGTCATCGCCTCAGCTGCTTTTTGTGTGTCACGGTGCGGCTGCACTCGGTAGACCACATTATAAACAGCGTCTGTCTCATTGGCTTTGTAAGACATTGAGACGGTTTATGAGGCGGCAGGGCGGCAATTGCCTTTGGGTAGAAGAGCCCAACCCACTCGTGGAGTAGCGGCTTCTATTACCTTTTCAGAGGAACATGTGTAGAGGATAATTGCGCAGCGGCGTCTTGATTGTCACCGTCTCCTTTTATCCATTTCTACCTGTTAGATATGTCTTCTAACTCTCTGGTTCAGTCTGCACTCAGTGTAGCTGATGGAAGGACTTGAACTAAGGAAAAAAGATGCAGGACCAGGGGGCTGGGTTCCCATTAGGCCGCCTTTTTTCTGAGAGAGATATGACTCCTGACTGAGGTTATCAGTACAGTAGAGGTAATGTATTTTGACCTGCCCACCAGTGTATAACTGTGTTGGAGCGGGAAGATGAGGGAAATAGTTTTTGTAACCTTGTATTACATTACTATTAAACCAATCTTGAAGTAACATTAGAGCATTATTACTGTCTGAGGGTTCAGTGCAGTGTTTGCTCATGTTTTTGTATATTCCTTTACCCAGCAATCATCGGGTTGAAGGTGGTGAATTGCTGAATACACAAGTTATGATAGCACCTTGGGTTATATAACTGTTGTGTCGGTGATGGAGAGGACATCATATTGTTCCCTCTGCCCACTAGTCTCTGGTTAGCTTTAGACTGAGTGAGGCGGATTTACTGATAACACGGTCGAGGGCGACACCTTGTGACGCCTCACTGTAAGATCAGTTGTGTGGGAATATGGAGATACAGACTGTCTGAGGGATCAGAACAGTGTGGTTTTATGTCCTGTTATCTGCCCGCTAGCCTTTGGATTATTCTGTAGGCTGGCTGCAGCGTTTTTTTACTAACGACACCGTGGGGGACGTCACTTTGTGTCGCATCACTGTTGAGAGTCAGTTATTAAAGGAATATTAGAGCGGTAATTGTCTGCTTGTGCAGTTCAGTTGAGCTCAAGTATTACGTTCCTGCCCACTAGTTTTGGGTTTCCTTGAACTAGGGGCGGCGGGTTACTGAAGGCACAGTGTTCAGCGACACTTTGTGTTGCGACACTGTAGTACCAGTAGCTATAGGGATATTAGAGTATTAACTGTCTGCTGTGTTCAGTTCAGTTTTTAGCTCATGTCCTCAATTCTAGAGATGTCTTTTAACTCTCCCGTTCAGTTTGTACTCAGCGTAGCTGATGGGAAGACTTGAACTAAGAGAAAAGAATGCAGGACTGTAGGGGCTGGTCTCCATCAGGTCCGCTCTTTTTCTAGGAGAGAGACATATATGGCATGACTCCTGACTGACGTGTTTCAGTACAGTAGTAGGCATGTTATTGATCTGCCCACCAGTGCATAACTGGGTTGGGGCGGAATGATGAGGGAAATAGGGTTTGTAACTTTGTTTACATTACTATTAGACCGGTCATATATATTGACGGAATTGTGACGTCATTTATCTGCTTGTTCAGATTAGTGTGACTCATGTTCTGGAGTCTACCCACTAATCTTTGGGGATCCATAGATTGAGTGTGGTGGATTACCGAATTCACAGTGTAGAGTGACACTTTGTGTCATTCCATTAGTGATCGGTTTTGTTTTGACAGGATATGGAGGCACCATCTATCTGCTAGTTCAGATTAGTATGGTTCATGTTCTGGATACTACCCACCAATCTTTGGGCCTCCATAGATTGAGTGTGGTGGGTTACCGTATACACATTGTAGAGTGACACTGTGTGTCACTCCATTAGTGGGCGGTATTGTTGTAACAGGATATCTGTGCAGCGGCGTCGTGGTCGTCACCATCTCCATTTATCCGTTTCTATCTCTTGGATATGTCTTTTAACTCTTTGGCTCGGTCTGTACTCAGCGTAGCTGAAGGGAGACCTTGAGCTAGAAGGAGAGGAAAAGCAGGACTGTGGACACAGGTTTCCATCAGGTCCGCTTTTGATAGAAAGACATACTTTTGGCATGACTCCTGACTGACAGGTTCAGTACAGTAGAGGACATGTATTGATCTGCCCACCAGTGATTCACTGGAGTGGGGCGGAGTGATGGGTGATAATAGTAGTAACTGGGTTACGATACTATTAGACCTGTCATAACAATGTGATGGAATGTGAGGTCATCTATCTGCTTGTTCAGATTAGTATGACCCATGTTCTGTTTTCTGCCCACTAATCTATGGGGTTCCATTGATTGAGTGAGGCGGCCTACTGGGTACACAATGTAGAGTGACACTTGGTGTCATTCCATTAGTGGTCGGTAGTGTTTTCACAGGATATTGAGGCACATCTATCTGCTAGTACAGATTAGTATGGCTTCTATTCTGGTGATCTGCCCACTAGTCATTGGCATTGCCATTGGACTAGGTGGGGCGGGTCTTTAACCGATGACGCGGTATATTGTGACGCCCGTATGGGTATAGTGGTTGCAGTACTGCGGGAATTGGTTGCAGCCATTGCTAGGCCTGACCTTTTCATTTGATGGGAAGTGTTGGGCTCGGCAGGGAGTACATTTTGGAGCGCTACGCTCCGCCTTAAACCAATAGGAGCAGAGCTCCCCTATGGGGCGGAGCTCCACGATATAGAACGATTAGTTACCGGAGTGTAACTCCAGTTCTATGAGTGGAGCGGAGCCCCATAGGACTTAAGGCCCTGCCGACCCTCTCTAGTCTCGCTGAAGATAAATATCTCGGGAGGCTGATTGAGGGGAGGCATCCCCTCTTATAGGGACACCTGTACTCCTATTGGCTGCAGGTGTGTGCATAATTTTGTCTCAGGCTGATACTGCCTTAGGGCAGTGGGTAAACCAATAGGAGCAGAGCTCCCCTATGGGGCTCCGCTCCACTCATAGAACTGGAGTTACACTCAGGTAACTAATCGTTCTATGTTGACAGCCTGGTCTCAGAGCAAAACGTATTATATTTTCCTAAAAGCCGTACCACTCCATTTAGTATATGTTACTTTACGTTAGGATACATTACTAGACATAACATAGTAAACGTAAAAATTTAAATCCGTATAACGTAAATGTCTAGCAACCCAAAGGTTGCGTGTTTGAATCTCATCACGGACAATTTTAGCTAATTAGCAACTAATTATTACATTTTAGCTACTTTGCAACTACACTAAACAAAATTATAAACGCAACACGTAAAGTGTTGGTCCCATGTTTCATGAGCCAAAATGTTCCATACGCACCAAAAGCTTATTTCTCTAACATTTGTTTATATCCCTGTTAGTGAGCATTTATCCTTTGCCAAGATAATCCATCCACCTGATAGGTATGGCATAATGAACACAATTGCATTTTATCGATGGCAATTTGAATGCACAGAAATACCGTGACGAGATCCTGAGGCCCATTTCTTTTTAAAGGTATCTCAGACCAATAGATGCATATGTGTAAACTCCCGAGTGGCACAGTGGTCTAAGGCACTTAGCTGTGCCACTAGAGATCCTGGTTCGAATCCAGGCATGGGGCGGCGCACAATTGGCCCAGCGTCGTCCAGGGAGGGAATGGCCGGCAGGGATGTAGCTCAGTTGTAGCTCAGTTGGTTGTGGCAGGGATGTAGCTCAGTTGGTTGTGGCAGGGATGTAGCTCAGTTGGTTGTGGGTTCGATTCCCACGGGGGGCCAGTATGAAAAAATAAAAAAATAATGTATGCACTCACTAACTGTAAGTCGCTCTGGATAAGAGCGTCTGCTAAATGACTTAAATGTAAATGTAAAAATGTGTTCCCAGTCATGTGAAACCCATAGATTAGGGCCTAATGAATTTATTTCAATTGACTGATTTCCTCATATGGACTGTAATCCAGTCAAATCTTTGAAAGTGTTGCATTTATATTTTTGTTCAGTATACTTAGCATGTTAGTTAACATAACCTTAACCCTTCCACCTAACCTTAATCCCAAACCCTAACGTAACATATCATACTTAAGCAGTCGAACGTAATATATATCATACTAAACGGGTCAAAGCAGGCTGGTGTGATCAAGACGTAGGATACTATACGTCCTACAATTCGTATTATTTTATACGAACCGCTATTACATTGGTAGGCCAATGTAATGTAACGTAACGTAAAGTAAGATATCATACTAAATGGAGCGGCACAGATTTTAGTGAAATATAATACGTTTTGCTCTGAGACCAGGTTGATTGTGAAGTAACTGCATGTCTGCTTGTCTTTTTTTAGTGTTGAAACTGAAGAGGGTAAAGAGCCACCACCTCAAAGTGTCATACCTGCAGACCAAGAGTGTAGCATGCCAACAACAACTGCGGGAGAAAATGGAAATGGAAATGGAACATTCACATGAGTGATCCTGATGAGGCTGCTGTCAATAACAGGAGAAAGAGAAGACTTGACTATGACAGGCAGTTTCGAATCAAACCATTAATGAATAATATTCGTCGTGCCTGCCTATCCAATTTCCACCCACGGCGAAACCTGTCTATACACGAATGGATTGTTCCATCAAAAGCTAAAAAAGGACTATTGGCAGAAAGCAAATCGAAGCACACTAAAAGGGATTTCAAGATGTTTGTCTTGACTGACTCCAACAATGGCTATACTATGGACTATGTTGTTTACAGTGACAAGACCACTTTCCCGAATGGCTATGGGATGGCTTACGATGCAGTGATGTCACTCATGAGGCCCTCCTACCTCGGATCAGGTTACCATCTGTACCTGGACGACTTCTCCAGTCCAAAACTATTCAAGAACTTATTAACCCTGAAAATGGGAGCGTGTGGTACCATGCGGGAAGCCAGACTGGGCTTCCCAAGATCAGAAGAAAATGCACTGACCAAGAAATCCCCAAGAGGATCTTTACGGTGGATAAGGGAGGGCTCCCTGCTCTTTGTGAAGTGGAAGGATGCCCGGGAAGTGTCGATGGGTTCCACCATTCATCAAGTGTATGGAGGGGATACCATACAAAAGGGAGTGAAAAACAAGGATGACAGCTGGACCCGGAAGTCTATTCCAGTCCCTACGCCGGTTATGGCATACAATAAACGCAAGGGCAGTAGTCGCATATCTGATCAACTGATTCAATACTTTTCAGTCCAACAGAAAACAATGAGGTGGTACCACTGCTTATTTTACCACTTTGTGGACATAGCGACTACGAACAGCTTCCTGATTCACAAGGAACTACTCAAGGAGAATGGGACTGAGCCAATGACCAAACAAGAATTTATAGAGAAACTTACGGCCCAGCTTTGTGGGGTGCCACTGTCCGAAGTGCATCCATCCAAAACAAGGAAAAGTAGACACACACCAGTCACTATCGCAAGGGTGAGGAGAGATGGATCAGAAGAAAACAAACGAATGCCTTGCCAACAATGCAAGAATAGTGGGAATGAAGATATAAGATCTAGTCAGTGGTGGCGCAACGCGTGCCAGGTACCACTCTGTGTGGGGATCAGGGATAGAAACTGCTTTTATCAATGGCATAAGTGAATCCATGCCATCTCCCCAGACCTGCATTTCAGTTATGCAGCCTGGGCTGGCACGAGCAAAAATAAAAGCTAGTGACACGTTTGTATGACTGGAGTGGGATAGCACTATTTTGTACGCGGGAGCTGTTTGCTTTAATGAACCGGTCATTGTAAAACTGTTTTAGAAAGAAGCTGACCTTGGTCTACCAACAGACCAGTAACACCCAAACAGCGGTTCTACATTTACTTCTAGATAAACATTTAAGCCCCCCTAGGGGAGTTGTATTAAAGAACTACTTTCTTTCCCAATAATGTAATGGGCCTGAAGGTAAAATGTCACTGCTGGCCTAAAGAAAAAGTCAAAGGCCATGATGGTGTCTTGGTATCTCACTGTATCTTCCAAACACAAACAAAATGTACTGTTTTACTGTAAAATGCAACTGGGGGAATGATCAGTGCCTTCAGAAAATATTCATACCCCTTGACTTATTTCACATTTGTTGTGTTACAGCCTGAATTTGAAATGGAATAAATCATTTTTTTCCCTTCTCACCCCATCTACACACAATAGCCCATAATGACAAAGTGAAAGCATGTTTTTGTATTTTTGCAAATGTATAAAAAAATAATAATACAGATCTCATTTACTTAAGTGTTCACACCACTGAGTCAATACTTTGTAGAAGCATATATGGCAGCGATTAAGTCTCTAAAACCTTTCCACACCTGGATTGTGCAACATTTGCCCATTTATTATTTTCAAAATTCTTCAAGCTCTGTCAAATTGGTTGTTGATCATTACTAGATAACCATTTTCAGGTCTTGCCATAGTAGATTTAAGTCTGAACTATAACTCGGCCACTCCGGTCTTCTTGGTAAGCAACTCCAGTGTAGATTTGGCCTTGTGTTTTAGTCTATTGTCCTGCTGAAAGGTGAATTAATCTCCCAGTGTCTGAACCAGGTTTTCCTCTAGGATTCCTTTATTTTCCGCTAACTCTACCACCCCTCCCCTAATTGGTGTAAACTAATGGACAACAACACTTTGACCTGGATTTGGCGCATGTGAAGGACTTATGTCCTTCCTTCTGTAGAAAGGCAAGTGAGACACAAGGCTGACAGCTGGAGCTGTACATCTATTCCAGTCCCTATGCCGGTTGTTGACTAGGATATACACAAGGAAAGTGTCAACTCGTCAGATCATCTGATTCAATACTTTTCAGGTCAACAGGAAACAATAAGGGGGTACAACAGCTTATTTTACCACTTTGTGGACATGGAGACTACAAACAGCCATGCCATTCATACGGAGCTGTGCAAGGATGGGACTGTGCCCATGACCCACCAAGCATTCATAGAGGAGCTTACAACCCAGCTTTGTGGGGTGTCTGAGCTACCAGAACAATTTGAAGGCGAGAAATACACAATTGAGGGTGAGAACTAAACACATACAGTTAGGGAAAAAAGTATTTGATCCCCTGCTGATTTTGTACGTTTGCCCACTGTCAAAGACATGATCAGTCTATAATTTTAATGGTAGGTTTAATTGAACAGTGAGGGACAGAATAACAACAAAATAATCCAGAAAAACGCATGTCAAAAATGTTATCAATTGATTTGCATTTTAATGAGGGAAATAAGTATTTGGGTCATTGTCATGCTGGAATACCCATCCACGACCCATTTTCAATGCCCTGGCTGAGGGAAGGAAGTTCTCACCCAAGATTTGACGGTACATGGCCCCGTCCAGCATCCCTTTGATGCGGTGAAGTTGTCCTGTCCCCTTAGCAGAAAAACATCCCCAAAGCATAATGTTTCCACCTCCATGTTTGACGGTGGGGATGGTGTTCTTGGGGTCATAGGCAGCATTCCTCCTCCTCCAAACACGGCAAGTTGAGTTGATGCCAAAGAGCTCGATTTTGGTCTAATCTGACCACAACACTTTCACCCAGTTCTCCTCTGAATCATTCAGATGTTCATTGGCAAACTTCAGACGGCCCTGTATATGTGCTTTCTTGAGCAGGGGGACCTTCACGGCGTAGTGTGTTACCAATTGTTTTCTTGGTGACTATGGTCCCAGCTGCCTTGAGATCATTGACAAGATCCTACCGTGTAGTTCTGGGCTGATTCCTCACCGTTCTCATGATCATTGCAACTCCACAAGGTGAGATCTTGCATGGAGCCGCAGGCCGAGGGAGACTCACAGTTATTATGTGTTTCTTCCATTTGCGAATAATCGCACCAACTGTTGTCACCTTCTCACCAAGCTGCTTGGCGATGGTCTTGTACATTTACATTTTAGCAGACGCTCTTATCCAGAGCGACTTACAGTTAGTGAGTGCATATATATATATTTTTTTGTTTGTTTGTTTTCTGTAATTTTTTTTTAATTATTTTTTTTATACTGGCCCCCCGTGGGAATCGAACCCACAACCCTGGCGTTGCAAACGCCATGCTCTATCAACTGAGCTACATCCCTGCTGGCCATTCCCTCCCCTACCCTGGACGAATTGTGCGCCGCCCATGAGTCTTCCGGTCGCGGCCGGCTGCGACAGAGCCTGGATTCGAACCAGGATCTCTAGTGGCACAGTTAGCACTGCAATGCGGCGCCTTAGACCACTGCGCCACTTGTAGCCCATTCCAGCCTTGTGTAGGTCTTCAATCTTGTCTTGTCTTGAGTTTGGAATCTGATTGATTGATTGCTTCTGTGGACAGGTGTCTTTTATACAGGTGACAAAATGAGATTAGGAGCACTCCCTTTAAGAGTGTGCTCCTAATCTCAGCTCGTTACCTGTATAAAAGACACCTGGGAGCCAGGAATCTTTCTGATTGAGAGGGGGTCAAATACTTATTTCCCTCATTAAAATGCAAATCAATTTATAACATTTTTGACATGCGTTTTTCTGGATTTTGTTGTTGTTATTCTGTCTAATTAAAATTATAGACTGATCATTTGTTTGTCAGTGGGCAAATGTACAAAATCAGCAGGAGATCAAATACTTTTTTCCCTCACTGTACCTATCCCTGTTGAAACGTCTATCCCTGTCAAGAAGCAGGGTGTTATAAAAAAAAGTCAGAAAGAAGTGCCTACAATGCAGGAAGTCACTATGGATTGTCGATTTAAAGTGCCAGATAGCACTCTGCATCAGGCCTGACAAACTGCTTTCATGAATGCCACCAGTGAAGCCCCTTTTGAATTGAGCGGAGGACAGCAGTAGAGGAAATGAGGTTGAGATTTTATATCTGCCACAAATATATTTTGAAAGAGCAACTTCTAGTCTTATTTTCATAACAGATTGTTGTTTTTCTGGAGGTGGACAAAAGTATTTTGAATGTGATACGTAAAACTGTCTTGACGACAAACTGACCAGAAGCGCACATTTACTACGGAGTATGGAAAGAGTACCACCAGGGGCGGTGTGTTCAATAGGGCGATGCACTGCCAAACGGGAAAAGGAAGGTATTTTTTTTCTAATCAATTATATCACGGCAACAGTAGTTATCAGTGTTGTAATCTAGACGTCTGATCTGCCACACTGCCACTAAATGTCCAATCAGGCTAAAGTCGTGCTTCAAATGGCCCCCCCCCCTTTTGGGGCGATTTCAGTCAGGTTGAAAATCGCCCAGAAGTCTGTCATAGACTCCCATGTAAAATCTATTTTTTTTTTAAATTTCAGAGCTTTCAATACAATCTCTATGGGCTTCTGAGGGCTTGCACTTACGCGCTTTCGTCATACGTAACGTAACCATGAACGTAACTAAGAAAAGAGCGGGTAGCCTCATCAATCAATTGACGTACTACTATCAAGATGGCTATAGCGTTCAGTGCAACTCGATTGTCTCTTTGAAATAAGTTACTTTTTGTCGGCGAACAAATCAAGATAAATTGGCAACGAAACAATTAGGACCTCCCAGACCAAATTTAATAATTCAACAGGTTTCTACTAAAGGCGGAAAGTCCTACACCCGAGGATTTTTCTGTTTGAGATTGTCTGCTTTGGGGAGTGAACATTGCCACTCAACTGGATGAGGGATACAGGCTAGCTGTCCGCCGCCACAACGATGAGGTTAGTGTTGATAATCACAAGTTTACTGGAGAACTGAGACCAAGTAGAGACTTTGGACAGGGTGGATATGGTATAATAAAGGCAGTTTATTCAGAGGTAAAGATATCTGGAATCGCGTGCACGGACCCGTTCGTCAAACTCTTAGGGAGCTATACATTAAGCCCCATTACTTACCATATCAGATAAGAGAAATTGCTGCAGCTACATATATTTTACATCCTGGCCCTACATAGTTCACTATTTGCATCACTTACCAAAATATTACATGTGGTCATATATGCTTGGAAAGTGGAGATGCCATAGAACGTCAAAAAAGTAAACATTGCTGGAGACACATTGCCGTTTTGGAGAAGACATCGCGTTTGCTAGCGAAGAGATTTGTTGTGGCAAATGAACTTGGGCTGGGAATTGCCAGGAACCTCACGATAAGATATATGCATTGCGAGTCTCATGATTCTATACGTATTGCGATTCAATACTGTGATTTTATTGCGCACCATATGTCTGTTGCAGAGGGATCAGAAAGCCATGAGAACGAGTTTTGACCAGTCATGGAAATAAAAGTGCTGAAAACAAATTGGCTCCCAATGTGAAAAGATTGAGAACAAGCTATGAAGGAACAATAATGGTGTTTTGGTGCAGGTACAGCCAACTAGCGCTAAAATATTGCGATATTGTCAATACAGTATATCGTAAAGTATCACTATGTAACTCGATTTCTTTCACCCCAATCCCTAAAATTAACGGTAAATAACTGAATTGTTTGCCCCACATTTAGCTAAGATGATTAGCTAGCCAGCTAAAATGTTTTATTTAGTTAGCAGTCGCATCTACAATAGTTTACTGTCAATAACATGTCTCCAAAAATGACGTGGTGTCTCCAATTGTGTTGACATTTTACAATTGCGATGCGCATCCATGAGTATCCACTTTCTGTAGCTCAGCTGGTAGAGCACGGCGCTTGTAACGCCAAGGTAGTGGGTTCGATCCCCGGGACCACCCACACACAAAAATGTATGCACGCATGACTGTAAGTCGCTTTGGATAAAAGCGTCTGCTAAATGGCATATTATTATTATTATTATTATTATTATTTTTATCTGAAGAGAGCCCCGAAACATTGTGTGCAGACATTTTATGCAATAAATGAAGTAGGTTGAATCTAGTAGTTCTGATCTTCTGATTGGTCCTGATGAGTTGGGCGAGGTCCCCTCCAGGCTAGTGTCACTGTTGCATTGGCTCTGAGTCGGGTTCTCTGTCTTCAAATGTTCAGCCTAAGAGAGGGGATTTTTGTGTGTGTGTGTGTGTGTGTGTTTAACAGTGATGATGTGTGTGTGTGTGTGTGTGTTTAACAGTGATGATGTGTGTGTGTGTGTGTTTGTGTGTGTGTGTGTGTGTGTCCTCAGAGCAAGAACTCGTGAGTTGGAAGAACTGAGAGGCCTATGGCGTGGGTGTTGTCCTTGGCCACCTGCTGACAAGGCTGACAAGATAGGACCCTTTTGTCCATTGTTATTGGATAGGAACAGAACTTATAACCAGCTCCTGACCTAAATAGATCTTAGCACAACATTTTACTCAACATATCATATTCCATATTCACTATAACAAATATATTTACTACGACATTAGCAAGAACCGCCACATCCTCAGCCGGCTAATCCAGTGTGTGAAGTTTTGCGGAGTGTTTGAGTTAGCTTTGCGAGGCAAAGATGAAACTGAGGGCTCCACCAACCCTGGTAAGCCAACACTTTTGAGATCAGTCAATAAATGCTTCTGGTATTGACTTATATGCTGCCCCTGTCTTCATGTTGTTGCTGGACATATCTTTTTTAAAATGTGTGTAGGTCACCTAAATCATCTGAAAAATTGCCCCCCCTGAGAATTTTTTCAGGAGCCGCCACTGAGTACCACAGAGTATGGATATTCAGCGCCCCCTATTCAAATACTTTATTTGGAGCAAATAAATGTACCTGTCACGACTTCAGCCAAGGCTGCCTCCCCTCCTTGTTCGGGCAGGCTTCGGCGTTCGTCGTCACCGGAGTACTAACCACTGCCGCCCCAATCATCATCACACTTGTCTTGTCAATCACACACACCTGGTTCCTATTCCCTTATTAGTCTGTGTATAAGAGTTCCTTCTGAGAGTACGTAGCTCGGAGGAGCTACTCATAACATTGTGTTGCCAGGGTAGATTTTCCCCCTGTGCCTATGTATTATTGGATTCCGTTACAGTGTATTGCCAGGGATGTTTGTTTCCCCTGTGCCTGTTTCGTTGATCGCTATTTGAGCGCATGTTTGTGTCAACGAAGGAATAAAC